CGATGGAGTTTTACTCAGCAGTAAAGAAAGATGAAATCATGAAATTGCAGGAAAATGGATGGAACTAGAAAATATTATACTAAGTAACAGACTCAGAAAAAAAAATCGACATATGTTCTCCCTCATATGTGGATCCTAGAACCAAATCCTGATAAATGAGTACATATCCAGACATAACTATAGGAACCAGGATAATGCAAAGGAGACAGGGAGGTAAAGGAAAAGAAAGAACCTGAAAGAGAACAACAGTAGGAAACAGGCGTTAATAAGGGAGATATGGATAAAAATTGGGATAGTTTGAGGGGGGAGGGAAGGGCATACAAGGAACCTAGGGGATAAAGGGGAAATGAGTTCAAGAGATGTAGGACCATAGAAGGGTATTATTAAGGGAGAAAGGGAGAAAATGAGGGCACCTTAATTGGGGAAACCATGATGGATGGGCTAGACAATACAAGAGATAAATAATGCCTAGCTAGTTTTAAAAACTAGAGGGAACCATATTAGTCCAACAACCTACTGACAAATTATACATAGCAGATCAAGAAATATATATCTAGGTAAGGTTTATCTGAGAACAATTGGTCTTTGCCAAAGATTTATCTACATGACACACAGTAATTAAAAAGTAGCAGACTGGTGGAACTAACCTTCTTGGATGTTTAACAGACATACTTTGAGGCCTATACTAATTTGGTCAGAGGGACATAAAGGACAGTTTTTGCTCCTTGCCCTCCTAGGTCGACTAGTTCCAGGGGACTATGAGCATCTCTCTAAACTTTCCTGTAATTGTGGTGGGTCACCTGTCCTCTTGATCAAGGAGGCTGAGGAGACCCCATCAGATGGACATGTACCAGTGTCCAGTCTACAAAGGGGAGGGTCAACATAGAGGAAACACTGCCTCCATGCTTTCAAGTGAAGCCAGCCATGGTCGAGCAGGACCTTTGACCTATCTTCACATAGGCGGAACTGGTAAAAGAAAGGAGCCAGGGGCTCCTCCCAAGCCCATGTGACCTCTGAGGAACAGATCTTCAAATGGCCAACTGTATGGCCTTAAATACCCAAAAAGAAAAGATAACCAAAGAACTTCATAAGAGTCCATAAGTATAGCTAAAGGCTACATAACAAGCAACAATGCCAGATAGGAGATACCTTCTTTTGAGTCATTGGCCAGGGTTGCCCAAGGGACTCCCAGACAGTAACCCAGCATAAAATTGGGAAAATGAACAGCAGACTCCCATCTTATCTAAAGGAATATTGACAACTGATTGCTGCTAGATGAGGAAGAGCTGACCTTCCAAAACAAAGACCTCTAGATAGGCTGACTAGATTCACCAGTTGGACAAGTAGTGGGGAACAGCTGAGTGTGCTGACAACACAGTGGACAGTGGCAGGGATAACAAAGTATAAGGGCTCTAGTGGGGGGATGGAGGCTATGGGAGGGTGCCATCTAGGAGGTAGGTGAATAGTTGAATAAGATGGTTGGGGATGTCTGTTTAATATACACACCAAGAAAAAAAAAATCAACAAATTAAAAAAAAGTATATTTGAGGAGGAAGCATAAAAGTTTACATCATGTTAATTAGTAGAGGTGATGAACATTACCATTGAAATCTACCCGATGACTTTATAGACATACACAGGCGCCAAGGATCTGAGTGCAAACGATTTTGACTAATAATAATCAGATACATACAGATTAGAGACGCACGCGCCAACATCTCAGTGTTAGTAGCAAAAACGAGTCTTTCTATAAGAAACAGTATATTTTAGAATGAAATGGAGATCTCTTTTGAGAGTTAAACTCAATGTCTTACAGGGCTTATACTGAGTTCAATATTGTATAACTGTATTGATTCAACAGCGAACCTAGAAACTTTATAGCCACTTTTGAAGGAGCTGTGTCTTTGCTATGGAAATGGTTATTGGGCATGTTAAAGCTGTGATATGCTTCTTCTAAAAAAAATATTAAGAAAAAGTAGAAAATAGCATTTCTTGAAATGGTGATCTTCTTTAAAGGGTAAAAACTCATTCAGTTTTATATCTTACAGGGTTTATACTGAGTTCAATATTGTATAACTGTATTAATTCAACTGTGAACCTAAAAATTTATAGCTACTTTTGAAAGAGATATATCCTTGCTCTGGAGTGTGTTACTCAATATGTTAAAGAGGTAATGAAATGCTTCTTCTAATCATGTGGTTATTAAATTTTTAAAAAAATTTTAAAAATCTTCAAAGCATAAAAATTTGATCCTTAATAATTAGTAGATGTGAAAAACATTACCACTGAAATCTACCTGATGACTTTATATCCATGCTCAGATGACAAGGAGCTCAGAAAGTAACCAACTGTGACTAGTAATAATCAGATATGTAGAGACTAGAAACGCATGTGCAAGCATCTTAGTGTCAATTGCATTACAAATGAATTTTTCTGTATGAAACTGTGTATTTTAATAATGAAATGGAGATCTTTTTTAAAGGTTAAAACCACATTTAATTTTATGTCTTAAGGGGTTTATATTGAGTATAATATTGTATAACTGTATTAGTTCAACTGTAAACCTAAAATTTTACAGCCAATCTTGAAACAGATGCATCTTAACTCTGGAAATTGTTATTGAATATGTCAATGCTGTTGTCATGAAATGCTTCTTCTAATTTTATGGTTATTAAACAAATAATTTAAAAAAAGAATCTGATGTTTTTACTTAAAAAAATTTTCATTACATTTATTTGTGTGTGTGTGTGATGTGTGTGAACTTTCACAAGTTGGTTCTTTCCTTCCATCATGTGGGTCCTAAGGATCAAACTTAGGTTGTCAGAGGTTGTCAGCAGCAAGCACTTTTACCTGCTGAGCTATCTTGCTAGTCCCAGTTTTTATTTTTATGCGACAGATCTCCTCATGTGGCCCAGATTGATCTCACACTTGTGATCCTCTTGCCCCAGCCTATGGAGTGCTGGGATTACAGGTGCATGCCACTGAACCTGGCTGATGTTTTATATCTTCCTTAAACCTTAAGAATCTCACCCATGTAGCCTACACATGAACTCTCCTGCCTCAGTGCCCTCCATGGGAATTATGGACATGGGGCACTGTGCTCAAGCTCCACTGATATTCTGTATTGACAACAAGAACCAAATCCTTTTTCACAAGATATTTACTCATAAAAATATACTGAAAACAAATGGTTTGTAAGATTGAATCAAGACTGACCTTGAAGGTAGAGCACTTTTTTTTTTTCCATCTTTATATTTAAGGTCTAACACACTGCTTGCTACGTGAGAAGCAACCAATAAATGTTAATGAATATCCAAGAATCTCACATTATAATACACCAAGACACAAAACAAAATTACAAAAGGAAATTTATTTCAAAAGCATAAGGGAACATTTACATTTAAACAAGGGGATAAAACAGGTGTCTTGCAGAAGGGAAAAAAAAGAGATTCATGGTATGAAGATTTTCATTCAAATTTATGAAGCAAAAAGAACCCTAAGCTATGTACTATTGCCTTGGCAAGGGGAACAAAGGGGTAAGGGCAGCAATGCAGTCAACTCAGTATCAAACGAGGTCAAGTCACTTCTGCTCAGCTTTGAGTTCACAGATATGCTTCAAAAGAGAAAGGAAAAATTACACTTAATACTCAAATCTATATAGCTGTGGTCCAGTTAGTTTGTGTACCTGACATGGCTTTAGGCCACTGGCAGCTCTACTTCTGAGGTCCATACTACACAGCAAGTTTTTGACTGTAATTCCACATTCCTAAGACTGTTCAGATTTCAAGGGAGCCTAGGTTCAGCTCAGGCTTGTGGAATGTTTTAGAGATTATTGCCACCACTCCACAGTCAAGCCGACCAACTTCTTGTGCTCACTTCTATCATTCTAGACTTTAGAAATATTTTCTCCATAAATATGTGCAATAATTTTCACAAAGGGGTTTTGCTTTTTTTCCCAGTGTAGAAATAATGAAGACACCTGTGTAGGAATTGCAAAAAATTCCTCAAAAACAAAACAAAAAATACCCCAACAAACTACTGGAAATGTCCGAGCATTTGATTTGAATAGCAAACTTGGGGAAGGAAGATTAATTGTAGAACGAAAATATATGAAACATTCAAATGCAGAGCAAAGGGTCTATGATACTAAAAATGCCCATGACATTACACTCCACAAATCTCCCATCTGCTGTTTCAACCTAAAGACTATTGACTAACTTATACAATAATCTGATTAATAACCTGAGAAGTTAAAATCTTGAAAGTGGCAAAAGCGAACTGAGAGAGCATCCTTGTAGACTGGGACTATGTTATCAAGTCACTTTCCTGGGTAGCCCTGGTTATTTTATCTCCAAACCCTAAATTACACTATCTCATCCTGTGGAATCCTGTATGTACATTAGATCCAGCTGTATTTCACCGACAAGGGTCTTCAAATTTGTCTCCAAAAATACAGCCTTTATTTTTTAGTTTTAAATAACAATAATCATGTTAAGTGCAACTGACTCAAAGTTCCTCCCTACCGGAGTAAAAACCTAGATACCAAGTCAGTAATGGATTCAGCCTCAAAAGGATAATCACTGTGTCAAAGATGACCTGTTCCTGGAATTTAAAATACTGATTTGTTGCACACTCAAGTTTCATAGCATGCACATATATATATACACATACACACAACATATGCTTATGTTTGTATGTATATTATACATATGCATTCCTATTCGATAATAAGAGCCTGTGTTCAAAATTCTGTCCCAGTGTATGGAGAAGAATGAAGGGAGCCATCAATGAAAAGCAACTTCTTCCTAAAGCTGTAACTCTTTTATTTCACAAAAGCTGGACTTGGGTGTCTATGTACTTGCTTGGCAGGAAAGCAGCAGCACTTCCTAGCAGCTTCAGTGAAAAAAACAATGGAAACAAAATGTTAAGAGTGATCACGACTCTTCTCCATACAGTGGGCAAAAAGGAAAAAGAGGGGAGAGGAAAGTAAGTAACCTTTGAAAAGTAATGATCTTTACCAGATAATAGAACTAGACTGAATTGCATTACATTAGACTCAGCTCTCAATAACAAATTGTGAAGATGTTTAAAGACTCACAAGATGAAGTCTGAATAATGAGGACACTGCAAAACAAGTCAAGGTTGCAGACAAATCATTCAAAAATATTGTTGTGGTTTTACCTTGGACACAACCATGGTCTGTTACAAAAGTAGATCATACATACAAAGGTATAAAGAACATTAAATTTTCAGCTGAAGGCAGCAGTCCTTTTAAAGGGACATCCCCGGCAATCCAATGAGTAGTAGAATTGAAGTATATCAAGCTCATGACGGTGCTGAAGAATGTGTGTCTTTCTCAGTAGAGTCTTCCTCGACTACGATTTCCTCGTGTTCCCCAGCCTCGGCCACCTCTACTTCCCCTGAAGGCTCCTCTCTGCTCTACGAAAAATCGAACAATGGTTTAGGTCTTGCTTAGGACCATAGTATAGCAAACTGAAGAAATATTGTATGTAGCTCTGAAAATAGCAGCAGGCTCTTGAAAAGCTGAACTGGTATTCTGCCATTGTCTACAAACTCATACTGTACATAAAACCAGGGCACTATTTATATACACCGAGACATACACAGAAAGTAAGTAACACATGCCAAATACATTCACAGCACAGCTTAAGTATTTCCCCTTAGCAAAGTTCTTTTTGAAACAACAATGTTAGGATGACTATACTTGCTATTATTTGGGTACCTGTCACTATTAAAGAAACTGTAAAATTTTCTGCACTTACTACAGAATTAACAACAAAAGTGTTTGGTCTTTAAAAGATAGTGTTATATATGAGAAGTATCTTAAATAGCAATGGTAAGTTAAAATCAGACTGGACCAGAATACAGTTTTCACATGTGACATGGAGGCAATTTCGTTCATTGTGATCACTGTTTAAAGCAGTGTCACTCACATAAGTATACATTTAAGTGTTGAGCCTTTTCACTTTCACTGGTTACCTGAACTTTCAAAGTGCTATCAAAAACGTGTCTGTCTATACCAGGCATGGTGGCGCACATCTATAATCCCCACCCTCAGGAGGCAGAGGCAGGCAGATCTCTGTGAGATCCAAGCCAGCCTGGTCCACATAGTGATTTCCAGGTGGGTTGGGACTAGGGAGACCCTGTCAAAAAAAAAAAAAGTGTGCATGTGTGTTGAAAAGTCAAGCCAACACAGTAGAGCATCCATTGACCCATTTTTATAGACCCAGAGAAATATTCCTCAAAAGACTCTTTCCAGTGAAGAGAAATGATTGACAGTATCTGGGCTCTGCTGAACTTTCAGGCTTTCTCACTGCAGCAAGCTTGTTAGCAGCAGCAATAAAATGAGGTTGGTTTTGTTCTTTCTGATCTCAATCCTGGTGTCCTAAAAAATACTTTTTAAGTCAATTTTGCAATTCTTTTTCGATACTATTGCTTATTACATGCTACTTGATGTCCGATGAATCTTCCCCCCACCCCAAGAAGGAAAAATAATTCAACTCTGAGATGGAAACTAAATAGACCTTCCCAGGTTAGTCAGTTTTTCTAATGTTATCTGACTCAGTCACCTTGTACAAGGACACATTTTTGTTAGTGGACTGGTATACAATTCATTTTAAATGCAGTTAGCATGCTTAGTACCCTAGAGAACAAATCCATGGGTGACAGCATTTTTAGGACAACCATACTTAGATCAAGAAAATTAAACTATTTCCTCACCTAAGATAGAACAATGAAAAAGCTGTAGGTTTCTAAAAGTTAAGTCATATCTGAAAATATCGTAAGCTACCAATGATCAGCTCTGAGGAAACATGAGTGGTCTCTAAGCATAAGACACCATGAGTGCAGATGCAGTAGCCATCGGTTGGTGGACTCCTGGTCCTGTACTTCATATTTATGCTTGAGGGACACAGCATAATCCTGTCTTCCTTTCCCCTTCCCCCTTCTCCTCAGGCAGGGGAGGCAAGGACCCCTCTACTACTGAACTACATACTCAACCCATAAAAATATTTTTTTTGAATTTAAAAAATACCAACACGCTCACTCAGCAAATTTTCTGGGGTGTGAGAGGTACAAAAACATACTTTGCAGATTCTCAAAAGGCATCAAAACAATACAATTTCAATTTGAATACAAAGAACAGAGTTACCTTCAATTCTTCAGCTACATAAAAGTGTGTTAAATACTGTATGAAAGTATTATTAAACTGTCATCTTTTCTATAGTGAAGATTAGCCTATCCGGTTCCACAAGTTTCTTCTTTTCGATAGCCTCATCCTAAAGGACCATTTTGCGTTTTAATGATCATTTCAATGATTTGAAGCTTACCTTAACTTTTTAACTTTTTCTGAGGTTTTATGTGTGAGCTGGGACTCAGACCCAGGGCCCTGCATATGGGAAGTCAATGTGTACCACTGAACTACAGCATCAGCCCCATTAGAAACTTTTGAGAAAACTATTAATCACAGTTAAAAATGACCCTTTAAAACTGTGATATGCTAAGAAAGGTTAAAGGACGCAAGTCACAAAATGTAGGCTGCGTAGTACTTCTGACTCACTGGGAGCTCTGTGTACAGAAGGAAGCTAAAACAAGATCTGTCTGTAAATAATGTGACTGAAAATGTGCCAGGAAATTGAGCTCATCCTTGGGAACCTATACTACATTTGTAAGAGAAAAAACATCAAAGACATTGATTAGTAAAATTATTAAGCTGGACATTGAGAAAAGGTTTCAACTGAATGGGTAAAATGAGGTCAAGAAAACCCATCCAACTGTTACTGTGAGAACACATAGAATCCAGTAGAATCCAGTCATGCCCAACACCTACATGTAAAATACTGACAGAACTTGGTTTATTTCCCAACAAGAAGAGTTTCAGTTGCTTTGTGTTGTCTCTTTGCCCTCACTAAGGAGACTACTGAAAGAGCTCAAGCTGTGACCCTAGATTTTTGCTGAGTAAAACTGTGTATTTGTTTACATTTTTAGTTTATTGGTATACAAACCAAGCATGTTACATTTGTGTTACAAGGCGTTACATTTCTGCATTTCTTTTCTGGGTTCTATCAGGTAGACAATGAGTTCTGTATGACACAGTCGTCATGGAAACCCAGAGTAATTACCTAACTACGTGAAAAGGAATAGAATTCTTTAAGTATTGCTAAAGCTCTTGATTACTTTCATTCAAGCCATATCCTCATAGCATCAACTGCTGATTTTAAGAATGGAACTGAAGGCCCATTAAAAAGAGAGAAAGAGAGAGAGAGAGAGAGAGAGAGAGAGAGAGAGAGAGAGAGAGAGAGAGAAAGAAAAAGTTAACAGAAGGTAATAATACTTGGAGCAATAAACCAACATAGACTCCTTTTCATTTACAAAATACTTTCACAAAGGCTGTCTCCAATTATTTAAGTGAAAGAGTTCCTCTAGTCCGTTTACTCAACTAAGAAACTCAGCCATTGTAAGAGGAATTTATTTAACAACACACTTATTTCGTCTCGGAAAGGTAATTATAGAATCTATAGTAAAATATGACTCAGAATATACTTAAAAATAATACTGCAGATTTATTTGGAACTGGTAATCAAGACCAACCATGTTTATGTTTGGATGCTATCACTATTGTTATATTAAGGTTATTACTGAGCCAAAGTCACACGCAGCCCAGGCTGACCTCAAACCTGCTATACAGCTGAAGATGGTCTTGAACTTCTGATTCTCTTGCCTGTGCTTCCTGAGTGTCAGGGTTGCTACTATTAAGCTTTGTCTAAGCAAGAGGAGCTGGATGGGCTATTTCTGCCCATTCTCTCCTGATCCTTTGGAAACAAGGTCTTGCTATGAATCCCAGGCTGGCCTCAAACTTATGATTCCCCTGCCTCACCTTCTTGAGTGTGGGGATTACAGACATGTACCACAATGCTTGGCAGTGTCCATTCTTTTTAAAAAGGTTCTTGTGGGGAAACACCAGTGAAACTTCATTACTGACTAGTGCCTTCAAAGAGAGCGGACTGGTGGGAAGGGGGGAATGGAAAGCAGTGTCAGGAGGACTACATTCTGAGCAAGGGGGAATCTGCAGCAGAACAGCTTCCTGGCCAGGTGGTGCTTGACTATCTGACATTACTTCTATGACTTCTCTCTGAACTAGCTACAGAAAGTTTGAGGAAAAGCAAGAGACAGAGGAATTCCAAGGAAAGTGCTCCACACTGCATCAGTCAGAAGCTGTACCTAGCCTCCATGGAAAATGCACATAATGCTTTTGCCTTACACCCAGAACTAGGAAAACAGGAATGGACGGCTCAGACAACTTCCTTTGTTTCTGTTGGTTTCTCTTAATGTAGCAGGCAAATTTCCCCTTTCAGGTGCTAAGCTGTTGCATGCTTGAGTCAGTGAGCCCACAAGAGTTAGAGACATGGATTAAAATTACTTTCCCAATGGCTCTTGTTCCCAGGTTAACTCAGAAAAGTCACTTGACAGAACCATGATACTATATATATAATTTATAATTAAAAGTATGTGCCACTTTCTACTTAATCTCTTATGTTGTCTGCACCCAAACGGAAACGCTCACCATAATTAAAGTTGCCCAAATTGCTGCTGTATTTTCCACTGGGAGGGTTATAAATCTGTCTGGCATCCCTTTTTGGTCCTCCTGGAGATTTCTTGGGCGGTGATCCTGAACTTGTATCTTCATTGGCTCTCTTTTGCCTGTAACAACGGGAAAATAAGCAATTAAGAAGTATCGCACTGAGCCAGGAGTCATGGACACATTTCTAATTTAGCCTGCTAGTTGTAAAAATCTCCTAAAGAGGACCATTACATCAGAAAAAAAGAAAATGAAGTTTCATGACATCAAATCAACTATGGTTTTGTTACAGACACTATCAGAAGGCATTTACGAGGCTTTAAAAATTTTTGATTTATGATTTTATGTGTATGAGTGCATGTGTATACGTGCACCTGTGTCGTGTAGTGTCCATGGAGAACAGAAGAGGACATTGGATCCCCTGGAATTCAAATTACCAATGATTGTTAGTTGCCATGTAGGTCCTGGGATTTGAACCTGGGCCTTCTGCAAGAACAGTCAGTCCTCAACTGCTGAGCCATTTCTTTAGCCCTACAAGGCTTATTTTAAAATGATCAAAAATGTGTAGTTTTGTTGATATATGGAAGTGACTTATTTTATGTTATTAGAAAAGTCTAGTAACGCTATAGAAATCCAAACAAATCTGAGAGCAACAGGGTTGTGTACAACCAGCTTATTTTATAGTGCTGGAAGTAGACTGGTATTTTAAACCATGCTTCTAACAATCATTTTAACATGTTCTTGAGAATCATTTAACAATGTACTCTCTTGTACAGTGAACTTAACTGAATTCAGAATTTTGTAACTTTTAAATTCCTTTCAGATTACTTCTTACCCAATCTCAACCTTCTGTACCGGTTTCCAGGATAATGTTACTGTGCTCTTATAGGAAGGAGGAATGTGGAAGAGATCCTAAAGAGACAAACTCAGAATTAGGATTTCTAATGTACATGCTGATAGCAGGGAGTGGTGTGCAGGGAAGGAGACAAAAACACACATTTAAGATTAGTTTTGTGCAGGGCCCTGGGTTCAGTCCTCAGCACTGAAAACAAATGTGTTAGGAGGTAGAGCTTTAATTTCTTCTTGCTCTTGAGCTGACAATTAGAACAGAGACCTAAAGAAAACTGCAAAAGAAAAGCAAGCAGGGACAATTTTGTTACAAATTACACTGATTACCTCCACCAATACAATTTTGACCATATATTTAAAACTCAGCCACTTCCCCCTACCCAAATGTCATTTCAAATTTTAGGATAAGTAAGACATCAATATTTACCAACTTTAACAATGGCAATGCTTTTCCTCTGCCCAAGGGCAGTCACGAAGATGCATCAATTTGAGGAAAAGCTTTATTATTTTGTGCATGTGTGATATGCATATGTACATGTGGGTGCTCATGCACACGTTTGTACATGCATATGGAAGATAGGTATCAGGTATTTTCCTTAGTAGCTTTCTGCTTTTTTTTAGATGGGGGGATCTTTGTTGAAACTGGAGTTCACCAAACAGGCCAGACTGGTTGGCCAGTGAGTCCTAGGGACCCCCGTCTCTGCCTCTCCAGTGCTTGGATTACAGCTAGGCTCCACTGTGCCTGGCTTTTTACATGGGTGCTAGAGATCAAACTCAGGTAAAAAAAATAAAAGTGATAGTAAATATTATAAACCTTTCTTTAGAAGTTTTCTTTCTTTCTTCTTTTTTTTTTTTTTTTTAAAAAAAAACAAGGCCATTTCCCTTTATTAAACTGGCTAGCCTTAAACCTGTAGTGATTCTCCTGCCTTTACTTCCTGAGTGCTGGAATTACAGTGCTCACCACACACTCTATGACTTGTTTTTAATGTCTTTCCACTCAACCTGGCAACAAGACATTCATTTCAGAATGTCTACTTCACTGCCGCTTTCTCTGAAATGCTTCCCTCTCCTTTCTGATAAAAAGCATTTATTCCACAGCATTCTTCTACATTAGCTCAAGGCACATTTGTCCATACTATCAGGCTTTGTACTCTAGGTGTTAAACACACTAGCCAATACTTGGGAAGGTCAAAAAGAACAGTAGGATAATTGTAACTTAATGATAAGGTGCCCCCTAGTCTACAGTATAAAAAAAGTCTCTGAATGTATTACACAGACAAGTTTACAGAAAATGCCCATTCTTAGAATAAGTAGTGCAGGGTTTTACTGTCTACTCAAAAAGACCCAATGGCATTAAGACCACTAGAACTTAAGCTACTGAAACTTCTGAGTTTAGCTCTACCTGCTTCAATCAGATTTACATGGCTCTCTTATCTTTTATAAACCTTTTAAATTCAGGTTAGCTCCAGAGATTCCACTCAGTATTACAAAAAAGTCAAAAGCATCAAAGGGCAAATATTAGGAATGAAATGGCATCTCTCTGAAACACCACCACTATACACATATGAGTATCTCCTGCACTGACTGCCTAGCTATCTGGGAGGGTTAGGTAAGAAAGGACTTACCTTGATTAGAACATTGATATTGTTTGTTATTTTCAATGCAACAACTTTGATCTTGTTCTGTAAAGGGGAAAACAAAATGAAAATGCCAATAATGCCTATGTGCATATCCCATTCTGCATGAACCTAGAATAAAACTTTCAGAATCACACCTCCAGTTAGAGAATTCCTTGCTTTAATCTATAGACAATGCTTATTCCTATTTCTTGATCCTACATAAGTCTAAAGACAGGAAAGAAAGCAAATCAACCGTGCTTCCTTGACAGGCTAGAACAATAAAGTACCATCTACAACTTACCTGAAAAATATACAAGGCAGAGAGGTACGCAGGGATTGTTTTAAAAGAAACTAGTATAAATTACAGAAGTCATGGTGAAAACAGAAACATTTCATCAGGACTGGGATGAGGACAGACAACCCCAGCAGCAGACACCTACATATTCTCCCATGGGACTGGCAGTTTCTGAGATGGTGGCCAGTACTCTTACCTCCTCTGTTTTTAAAGCCTCGCCTGTTTTACCCTGGAGAGCCAAGCGAAGTTGTCTGATATAAACCTGAAGGCCCCGTGCAAAGTACTGCAACCTAAATGAAAAAGTATTCAATCAGTAACTCATTGCTTCAATTTTGTTCTTAAACTCAAATAATCATCTGCAGTAAAGCAATCCACAGTGCAGAAAATGCCTTATGACCAAAAAATAATAATTTCTTAGGTTGTTTACTTCTAATCAAGTATTTCTGATCAAGTGCTTGCTGGTGAGATGGATTATTGTTTTGTTGCCTAGGCTGGCCTCCAACTCCTCTGCCCAAGTGATTATCCTACCTCAGTTTCCCAAGTAGCTCAGTCTGTAGAGTGTGTCACAATGCCTACCTGATCAAATACTAAACCATTCCCGCTGGAACAGTAGAGGGCAGTTAACAGGTGCTGGTGTGGCTCAAGCATTTGAGAACCTAAGATGTGGATTTGTTAATGGAATGATTCATACAAATGACTTCTGTAGCACCGCTCCTCCAGTAACACTATAGACTATCATCAACAACTGGGCTACAGGTACTGAGTGCCTGCTCTCTACTAGGCACTGCAACACAAGCTTTAGTCACTGTTGCATATCCCTACTGTGACTCAAATTTAACAGATGAGGAAAATCCAAGGGGCTAAAAAGAGCCTGAGAGAGACCTTGCCTAAGACCATAGAGCAAGTAAGAAGAGCCAGAAGACACAGGGCCCTTTGTGCTACAGGTTAACAGTGGCAGCGCCAATTATACTGCAAAAATGATGAAAGCATTAACTAATTTACTTTGTGCTATAAAGCAACACTTACAAAGACTCCTCAACAGTAATGAAGCACTAAAACTTAAGGTGGGCTTCATCTGTTATTAAAGTTAGACTCTAGCTACTATCTGAAGATACCGGTAATTGCCATTTGCTCCAAAGTTCACTTCCTGCCATGGATTTGTCATGTCACATCTGAGAAATGTTTACAAACAGCATCTGTCTTCTGGACTCTCCATTCTGTTCCACTACATTAAGGAAAGGGTGAGGAGAATTTGCTCTTGTAAAACAAAAACAAATCCCAGAGAGCTTTAAGATCTATCATCTTTGCCAAGGACTAAACCACCTCAGTCATTATCACCTGATTTTGAAATCTTTGAGCTTTTCTGCATTCAGTTTGGCTGTTAAGAAATCTGGAAGTTTTCGGCCCAACTGGTGAAAACTGTACAACAAACATTCCACATAACTGAATTGCAGCTTAGGTTCTTCATTACCCGCATTTTCTCCATTTTCTGCTTCTTCTGGAGGGAGAGGCATGTACTCCTAGGAGAGGAAATACAGATACGGTTGCAATCTGCTCTAAATCCTCTCGGAGCATTAATAATGACCAAGAGTAGAACACGAGACAAACCTGTTACCTCTGGCATGCCAGCTGTCCTTATCAATCTACATTATAGCTGCTACTACTAACAATGAAAGTGAAAACAGCTAACATTAGGCACAAGAATCAAAGTTCAGAGTTAAGAGCCAATATTTCAACACTAAAAAGACTGTACTCTTTATGAATCCAAAAATCTTTTCTCAATTCCAGACTGTTTTAAGTACTGAATCTCTTTACACTGAAAGTGTGACAAAGGCATTCAATGTCAGCATTATTACACCCCAATAGATACTGCAAGTCTGGATGAGCAGCAGATGTTGAATGACTCTATTTATGTCAAGGGCCCAGGCTTATCACTGGCCATTTACAGAACTGCTCACATCAAACAAGAAAGTCACTCAGTGATGCTGATCATGATTTTATCAGAAGGCCTATTTTCCCCACAATTACAGCTTAAATGATAGCCTATTTATTTCCTGGTTGCTAAAGCTACTTGGCCTTAGGCATCTACCTACTTGGTGGCCTAGAACAAATGACCTCTGCAATGCCAACTACAGTTTTGAGACTATTTAGCACAATCAGAAGAGTTAATGCTACTTCCTTTTACATGAACATAAAATTACTGTGATTCAGAAATAAGAGAAAGACCTACTCTATAAATCCTGTATATTTATATAAAGCAACAACAAATGCCAAAATCAAAACAGATTTCCTTAAAAAGTAGGAAGCAACTAGCACTCACTAGAATTATTGTTCAATGTATGCAAATTTCATAAGCTAGTTCTTAATCGTCTAGAAATTAATTAGTCTTTAAGGCTATAAACTACCCCATAAGGAAAGAAAAAAGTTCTTACCAATAACTTATCAAACAGTTTCCTTAAATTTGTTTCTAGTTTTTCCATGTCACCACAAAATGAACTCATCTCTGCCAACAATTTCAATACCTAAAACACACAAATTTACCATTAGTACTATTTTTTGAATTAGGAAGGGCTACATAAAATGAGAGCAAGTCTAAAAACCTATTTAAGATTTTGCTTATTTTCAAATTATGCTTTTCAGAATCATAATATCTGAACTAGAAAAAAAAATCCCTAGAGATATAATCCTACCTTTTACTGTTGAAGAAAGTGAAGAAAAAGAAAGTCATGGTATGGGTATCATGGGTATCAGAGCAAAACCAGGTCCCATACGTCCCAATACATTGGTGGGAAGCAAGAGAAAGTATACACATGACCTTTTGTGCTACTGGTGCTAACAGTTGACAGTGCTAATTCTACTGAAAAAATGATAAAGATATAACTAATTTACTTTGTGCTGTAAAGTAACACAATCCTCAACAGTAATGAATCACTAAAACTTACGGCGGGCTTCATTTATTATTAAAATTAGACTCTAGATACTATCTGGAAATATCTGTAATTCCCAATATTGGAATGTTCGCCCCGTTTTCTTTATCTAATCCCAGTCTGATAGGCCAGGCATAGGACATTTGAAGCAAAATACTGTGTAGTGCACACCAAGATTGCCTGTCCTAGAGACCTACGAAGGCAATTTCCAGATTTCAGTCCAATTCAACTACCATTTAAGTGCTGTTCACAATCAGTCTCTGAACCGGATTGTGTGATATATTTAAATGCTGGGAGATACTGTAAATACAGCTTAAGGATTACAGATGCCGTGAAAAGTGTGAATTACATTATAATGGAGACACTAAGCAGGAGAATACGCACTTCATCAGGGTATGAGGAATAAGGGATATTTTATGTTAATTAAGTGTATGTATTCTGTGGGCACATGCCCATGAACTTGGGGGAGTGAGTTCTCTACTTCCGCTATGTGGATTTTGGGGACTAAACAGCGTGTCAGATTTGGTGGCAAGCACCTTTACCCTGAGTCATCTCACTGGCCCAATCTATTTTAAATCTAGTTCTGTAAGATACAGAAGGAATAGCATGAATTAAATACCCCATTTAAAATATAGAGGCTTCAAAGCCAGAGACTGACTATAGTGAGATCTGTAGGCAGCACTTTCCCACTGTAGCAACTGTAATCGAATCCAAAAATCACTCTTATGTAATTAATTCTGGCCTAAAAGATTATTGCCTAACTACTGCTAGATATTTAAACTACCCCTTTAGAAATCAGATCTAAGTGATTCATGTTTCTGTTAAAACTTGGGGACTGCCTTTGCAGTGCTAAAAGCAGGAATTTTCTCTTACCTCCAACTGTATATCAAGACCCTCCACTGGGGTTGTCAAGGTACTGAGATTAGGGAGAACTTGCTCACAGAAATAAGTCACAAACCTTGTGGAATGGACATTTTTCTGTAAAAAATTGCAAAGAACATGGAGTTGTCACAAAAAACAAAAAAGAAGTACTTTCTCAAAGATTATAGTAGAATGTCACTCAAGGCGTGGACTAAGTACTCCAGCATACTGGGGCCACATGCACAGTATCATGCAAATTCCAGGGCACCCTGGAGAGCGTGTCAAAAGACAAGGCACACTCTGCTGCACAGCCACTGGGGACAATGGGATATCTACATATCTTTGACATCTTTCTTGATTCTCAAGTCAAATTTATAGGGCATTTAAAATATTAGTTTTTATTTATGTGTACATGTGTGTGCCTGTCTGAGTTTATGTACACCACATGTATGGGAGCTTTCAGGGGTCAGAAGAGGGCATTGGATTCCCTGGAACTGGAGTCACAGATGGTTTGGAAGCTGCCATGTGGGTGCTGGGAACTGAACCCAGGTCCTCTGCAAGAACAAGTGCTCTTAACTGCTGAGCCATTTCTCTATCCCCATTAGGGGATATTTTAGTGCTGGATTTCCACACTGCACATTTCCTAAAAAGAACAGATCCTTTACGCTTTTCAAACTAAAGTATATACATCCCAGAAGACTCATGTCAGGGGAAATATAAAGCCAGAGAAAAATGCAGAGTTCTAAATTTTACAAAGTCTCTAAGCAAGCCTTTGAAAATTGTCTTGCAGCTCTGGTCCTTGCAAATGCTACTCGTTTCCATAAAGTACTCCAAAGTGCTAATAACACTTTTATGGAGAGGTGTGAGAACATGTTCAAGTGAGTATGGAAATACATATAGTTAACAGAGTGACCAAAATGTCATCTATGTAGAAGAAGGAGCTCACAGAAAAGAGAGGCACGGCCTGCCTCGTGCATTGTAAGAGCCTGTCTACGCAGTCGGGATCTGAGGGGTTGAAGGTCTGCTCCAGGTCAGCCTGTTCTGCCACCAGCTCTACCAGCTGCTGTCTTCCACTCACTGTCTGTAAGCTTTTTAACCCAGACAGTATCTTCATGAACAGAACAAATTCTTCACCAGTCACATCTTCTAGGACCTGGAAAGAGGCAATTCAGAATAATAGTATTTTTATCACTTGAATGAGAAAGAGAGACCAATACTAGAAGAGTGGCAATTTTATTTCAGTTACCAAAGTCAGTTTCATATTAATACTTCTGAAATACAACAAAAAGACCAGTTTCTTTTTTTTTTAACTTTTAAAAAAACTTTACTGAGAATTTCATACATGCATATAAAGTGTTTTGATCAGATCCATGCCCACTCCCTCCCCTCTAACACCTCCCATGTTCTCGTTCTCTCTCTCCCTCTCTTTTGGGGATTTTTGCTACTCTAACATTCCCCCCTCTGAAGAGGTAACCCTAAAACCTTTTAGGGATTAGATAAGCGCTCCCATATACTTTTGACATTTTGGCCTTTGGAACATAGTATGTTGCTAAAAGGCCCAAGGATATTTTGACTTTTAGCCAAGAAACTGGCTATTTTTCTTTGGGGGTCTTTTTTACCCTAACTGCCTAGCCAATTCCTACCTTCTATTCTTATCACACTGTCCTCCGAAGAGGTTACCCATATTGCCAATAGGGAATCTGGGATGCAGACCGCTCTGGCTTCTTCCATGCTGAACAGGGATGCAGAGTGAGGCAACTGGGAGTACCCCTTCAGTGGGTCTATCTAAAAGCCTCCCAAATTCCATAACTCATCACCTCATGGGGGGCGGGGGGAGAATCCAGGTGCTCTAAGGCGGTCCCCTGAATTCTCAGCCTCTATGCCAGAGGGAGGCCAGAACAGGCATCCAAAAAGGCAGGTTTTCTGTTGGGAGAAAATGAGTTCTCCAAGGGCACAAAAACTGTTTATGAGAATTTTACTTTTTAAAAAATTTTTATTATTTTATGTGTAGAAGTGTTATGTAAGGGCACCCATGTTCTGCAATACCTGTGGAGGTCAGAAGAGGGTATCAAATTCCCTTGGAACTGGAGTTATGAACAGTTGCTACCTGCCATGTGGGTGCTGGGAATTGAACCCAGGTCCTCTGCAAGAGTAGTCTGTGTTCTTAACCTCTGATTCAACTCTCCAGTCCTGAGGATTTTACTTTTTTAATGTACAAAGCACAGATACACACAAAAAACTTAGATATATGGTATATCTGTGGCATTAAAATTCCACAGATGGGGTGGAGAGATGGGTCAGTGGTTAAAAGCACTGGCTGTTCTTGCAGAAGACCTGGGTTCAATTCCTAGCATTCACATGGTAGCTAACAACCATTCATAACTCCAGTTCCAGGCGATCCGACACCCTGTTCTGACCTCCACAAGCATTACACGACATGGGTGTACTTACATACATGCGGGCAATACACTCATACACATAAAAATAAAACAAAAATATTAATAATAATTTTTTTAAATTTCACAAAATGATAAGAAAAAATATAGTTTGGGGGGGTGATAGAAATGGTGGAGAAATTCTGTAGCAACCTACTAAGTCAGATTCAGCTTCTTACAAGTAGTCTCATTCACAATCGTGCTAATCGTCCTCAAAATAGGACGTCATACAAGTTATTTAAGGCTTCCACATCAATGAGCCTACACAGTTGTGCTCACTGACCAAAGCCTGCAATCATGACATACTCTAGTGAGATTATGACACAGGGCGCAGTCTGTAAAAAACATTCTGACACCCTGTGCAGGAGACTTACTGTTTCTACTGAAGAAATCATATTAGTGAGTAGTGTCACTACACAGAAAATGCAGAATTTTCTAAATTTAGCTGGGCGTGGTGGCGCATGCCTTTAATCCCAGCACTTTAATCCCAGAGGCAGGCGGATTGTTGTGAGTTCAAGGCCAGCCTGGTCTACATAGTGAGTTCAGGTCATCTGGGACTACAGGGAGACCCTGTCTCAAAAAGACAAAAAAAAAAAAAAAAAAAAAAAAAAAAAAAAAAAAAAAAAGGGAAAATATTCCCAAACTTTGGTTCTTCAAAAGTGGTGAAAAGTCTGTGACATCCCTTGGCAATCTCTCAGCCTTTGTACTTATGCTAGATGCTGGGAACACATAGAAATAAGCACAGTATGATGGTTAATACTGTCAACTTGACAGGCTCTGGGCATTACCTGTGAAGAATTAGTAGGTTAGCCTATGAGCATGCCTGTGAGAGAGTCTCTAGGTTAGGTAGGAAGACCCACCTTAACTTTGGGTGGTATCATTCCATGGGCTGGAATGAATAAAAATTCTGGACTGACTGAATAAAAAGGAGAAAATTAGCTGAGCATGTGTATTTATCTCCCTCTGCTTCCTGACTGTGGATGCAAAGTAACCAGCTGGCTCAAGATCCTGTCATGATTTCTCCACCATGATGGGCTATATCCTTGAATTCTGAGCCAAAATGAACCTTTCCTTCCTTAAGTTGTATCTGTCAGTATTTTGTCACAACAATAAGACCACTAATACATGCTTTCACACCATTATCATAGTTTACAGTGATGAAAAAATACATTATTTCTATTATTTCATGATAATATATTGCATTTTGAAATGCTCCAGTATACTTTGAGACCACCCTAATATGGGTGAGAAGGAATTAACAAAAATTTCCTGAAGATGAATTTGCTTGTTTTGCTTTTTGAGACAGGGTCTTCCTATAATCCCAGCTGGCATGGAACTTGCTAAGTAGATCAGGCTGGCCTCAGTGTCACAGAGATCCACCTGCCTCTGCCTCCAAGAGCTGACCTGAGATTAAAGACATGTGCCACCACGCCCAGGTTCAATACATGCAATTTTGAGAATAATATCAAGGTCTTAAATGTTACTACATCCCTTTAAATTAGTATGATTCATCATTATGAGTGACTGAATTCTAAATACTGTATAAGGAAAACATGACGATCGATGGTGGGTCCAAGAGCATCATGTATCATTTTATGCACAAATCACACATAGCACTGATGGATACCACCAATTTCAATGATAGCTCACTGCTGAAGAGAACTTCTACTAAATGACAGAAACACACCTTTTTGGATTCAGTTAGTATAAGCTCCTCTACTTCCTTTGTTAAGACTTCATCTGGCAAAGTTTTAAGTTTTGTAGAAAGGAATTTAATTGCTCGTTCTCTAACGATGTCCTCTCCTTGAAGTATTTGGCTAAATAAACCACCTAAGGTTCCTGTAAAGCAAAAGAGTTGCATGAAGCAAGTCAACTGTACAGTGTAAAGTGGTGTAAGTGCATCTACTTCATTATTTCTCACAAATTAATAAACATCCCAAATACCACCAACATTGGTTAAAGCCAGGTTGAAATATAGTCCTCACAGTAAGAGTGACCACACCCTTTGGTCTTGGGGTAATGTCAGCCTGAGCATGACTTGCCTTTTCTATCATTAATTAAAGCTCAGGTATTTTGGAAGAATTTCTTCAAAGTGGCAAAAGGAATTCTTCCTACATATTTCTAAGGGAAAAGCTTGAGCTGCTTTTATAATGATTTCTACTGAATAGTTGCAAACATCTTAAGTTGGGAGGCATTTTTCAGAAATAGGTACTAATTTTTAATGAAAAAGATCTCTGGGTAAACCCCAGACTTTGTCCTTCATGCATTAAGGCCAAGTTCCCTGGTTTCCTAGGACTTCAAGCACAATTCACAATGAGAACTTGCCTTACCTTTTGCATCCATCTTAAATATACTTAACAGAGCATTGTTCACTAAGTTAAATTCTGCGGAGTCATCTGGGTGGAGAAAGAATAGCACAATGAATATAAATGTAAAATAACACCTGCTTCATTTTCAAATTCAAGATTCGAACATAGTTTTATACAGATGACAGGAAACCTACACCTAAACAATTCTCTTAAGTAGCAGAGATACACAACTTCCTTACAAGGGTTGAGATCATCATCTGGCATGCCTGGAAAACTTTCATGTTAAGATGATACAATCTGAGGGAGGGAGAATCAGTTTTCTGGTGGGATTAGCTCCTTGAGCAGTTATACAGTCTCAGACGGGCAGCCCCAAACATGGGTACACAAAAGCACCACTAAGTGGATCAAGTATATGTGTGCATATTTATAAATGTGTGCATGTTATATAACAATAATAATCAAAGAAGATGTGATGGCTAATCCTGGGTGTCAACTTGACTGGATCTGGGATTAACTGAAATGAAAGAGATCTTCTTGATTGGATGATCTGAAGCTGGAAGACACACCCAACTGTGGGTGTTACCTTCTGATGGCAGCCTGTATAAAAGGCCATGGCAGAGGAGAGCACCTGGCTTCTTGCTGCTTGCCTTCTCTCTCGCTGGTGAGTTCATCTTCCTGCTGTAGACTGAAGACTAGCTGATCTTTTGGAATTTGTCAGACCTTCAGCACCAGATTGGGACTACTGAAACATCCAGCCTTGTGGACTGAGCGACTATGGATTCTCAGCCTCTCCAGTGTGGTGCAACCATTGTTGGGCTACTCAGACTCTATCCTGTGAGCTAAGCTGATAAATCTCTGTATGTGTATATTCATTCTACTGATTCTGTTTCTTTGGAGAACCCTCACTAATACAGATTGAGAGGGAGTGGAGGGACCTGGTAGGAGCTGGTGGGCACTGGGAAGGCTAGAAATAATGCAAAGACAAAACTCATGTATGAAATTCTCAAAAATAAAAAAATTAAGTTGAAAAAAATAATTATCACACAATAGAAAATAGGTAAAATTATGATGACTTATAACTTTCAAGAGACTCTAATCAGCATGTCTTTATAAACAGAATTAAAAACTCAAAGACCAAAAAACTCAAAAAAACAAAAAAAAACAATAAAAATTAAAGATTCAGAAGTCACTAAGCCTCAAACTACCTAATTAAAGTTCAACCTCTGCCAGAGCCAGGACCCTTAGCACTGCTTCCTATGCAAAACAAAGCTAAAATCAGTCACCATATCAATAGAATTCCTGACCTGTCTGCAGAAGCTGAGTGAGTATGTCTGCTACTCGGGGAAGATTTTCTCCAGTGGCAAACTGAGGCAGCTCTTTAATTGCTTGGCGTCGTATCTGGGCACAATTTCAAACAAACACAATCAACTAAAATGCCATTATTATTTTAAAAAAAGTCAAATTCTGCTTTCAAAGAAAACTAAGACCATGAAGAAACAATTAGAAGCATATGAGTTGTGAAAACAAAAATGTGATCTTTTTTTCTTAAAGTGTTTTAATTATTGAAGCATGTGTTCAGTGATGGAGGAGGGGGCACTAGCCCCTAAAGACAAACTTATTTTTTTAAAAATATATTTTATTATTATTTTATCTGTACTCGTGTATTACCTGCATGTATGTGAGTGCATCCGTGTCATGCAATGCCGCAGAGGTCAGAAGAGGGTGTCAGATCCCCTGGAACTGGAGTTAAGGATGGTTCATAGCTACCATGTGGGTGCTGGGAATTGAACCCAGGTCCACTGCAAGAGCAGTCAGTGCTCTTAACCACTTAACCATCTCTCCAGCCCAGCTTAGTTTTTTTTTTTAAGATTTATTTTTATTTTGTTTATGTGTATCATCTGTCGGGGAGGGGGTGTCTACAGAGGTCAGAAGAGGGCAGATATTCTCGAACTGAAGGAACCAAATTCAAGTCTTCTGGAAAAGCAGCAAATACTTTTAACTGCAGTCATCTCTATTGCTCCAAAGATAGGGATTTTTAAACATCTTTAAAAATAATTTGCTCATTCTATTTCTTTAATTTTTTAAAATTTATTTTATTTTATGTGTATGAGTGTTTTGACTGCATATATGTAAGGGCACCCCTGTTGTGCAATGCCTGTGGAGGCCAGGAGAGGGTATCTGATTCCCTGGAACTGGAGTTACAGATGATTGTTAGCTGCCATGTGGGTGCTGGGAACCAAATCCAGGTTATCTGCAAGAACAGCCAGTGCTCTTAATGGCTGAGCCATCTCCCCCCTGCCCCCAATATGGTCATGCTATGCTATGCTGCCATAAACTTCTGGGCTCTTAGTAATCCTTTTGCCTCAGCCTCCTAATTAGCTGGGACTAGAGATCTGTGCCACGTTACCTTGCTCAATTTACTCTAATTTAATATTCAAGTTTCACAGAGTAAGACCAAATGTAGTCAGAAGGGACATTAACTAAAATACCTGATTGAAGAAAAACTCTCAGGGCAGATGAACTGTAAACCTCAGCAGCTGCCCAGAGGAAGAAATGGAGGCAAGAAAGAAAAAATCCCATATCATTTTAAGCTGGCATGGAGGTGAGACACATGGTGAACTAACAGCTACATGGGAGGGAGGGAGGTTTAGAGACAAATTAAGAAACCTAAATGTTGTGGAAGCCCAGAGTGTTAGGGTGAAGAGGTTATATTTTTCTGAAGAATATGGAAAAGCTGACTTACAAAGCTACATGTTTGCTGCTGGTCAATAAACAACTGCAGGGTGTTTACAGCTTTTAGGCATATAACTCACTGTTCTTTAGACCGGCTCCCATGACAATATCATACCCAGGAAATATTGATTTTATAATTTTAAGTTCTGACCACTTAAATTTGAATTTATTTCAAATAATTAAGTTACTAGATCTTACATTAAAAAATGTACAGTTTTTATCTGGCAAATTCTGCATGAAATGCTGTTGATTCACTGATTTTATCTGAAAAGTTAAGAGCAAGAGCTGAAAATGTTTAGAAGCCTGGTGTAGTCAGAAATTCTGTTCCCGGGGAAAATGATTCATTCTTAGTCTGGTAATCCATTACAACAATTACAGTGGCCAATTATTTTTCTGAAATATAAGACATCTATACAAAAACAACATTAGCAATCTAATTTTGTATGCAATATGAGAGATGTGAGCCACGATTCATTTTTAGCAATGGATAATGGAAAAGCAAAACAATGATTTGTAGTTCCATGCAATTTTCATGGACAACTGGGAGTGAAGTTCATGCATTTTCTCAGATGTGGGTTTAACTCTGTATGGTGCAATGTGACCATGGCTGTGGTGTTTTACTATGAAATGATCAGCTTTTTTTTTTCCTGAGACAGGGTCTCCCTGTAGCCCCAGCTGGCCTGGAACTCACTCACTTATAGACCAGGCTGGCCTAGATCTCACAGAGATTCCCTGTCTCTGCCGCCCGAGTGTTGGGATTAAAGGTATATGCCACCATGCCGGACTCTCAATCATAAACTTACAGACACATCTTCATCCTCACAGAGGTCTAACTGTGCGTTGATAGCCGAATCAGCCAATTCTGGAAAATGCTTAAAGAATTTAGGAATAAACTGAGCTGCTAATCGTTTTTCCTTGGTACCACCTTTCACACCGTCCAGTATCACTTGGTAGGCATCTTTATGCTGAAAGAACAAAAACACAACACTGAAGATGGGATGCCAAGTGGAAGACTTTAACATGTTCAAGTCAGCTTTAAAATGTTCACAAAGACTAAAGATGACTTGTTAGAGTTTTACTACTTAAACCAGACATCTACCTTTCTACTGTATTTCCCTAACCGCCCCCATGTTCCACTCCATTTGTTAACCGGGAAAGAGAGAAAGATGACCCTGCCTGATTTTTATGTGGAATGTCCTAACTTTCCTTCACTGGGTATTTAATGCTAGCCTTGTGACTACATCATGTTTAAAAATGGTTGTGCTATGTAGAATTCTAAGTTGTGTGGTACATTTACTTTAAAAGAAAAAAAAAAAAAAAAGAGCCGGGCGTGGTGACAAATGCCTTTATGCCCAGCACTTGGGAGGCAGGGGCAGGCAGATCATTGTGAGTGCAAGTCCAGCCTGGTCTACATAGTGAGTTTCAGGACTGCTGGGGCTACAGGGAGACCCTGTCTCAAAAAAAAAAAAAAAAAAAAAAAAAAAGAAAGTACCTGTGACCAGACATAGTGGCTGCACACCTGTAACACCAGCACGCAAGAGGCTGAGGTAAGAAAATATCAAGTTTGAAGGCAGCTTGTGATATGCAGAAAGACCCTGTTTCACCCTGCAGCCCCCCCCCCCCAACATACCTGTTTACTAAGAGGAAGGTGGATGAAACACATTTCTGAAGTAATACTAGGAAGGCTAGGAAGCATGGCTTAATTTTATCTTTTATTTTAGGATATGAAAGCAGTAATAATTTTTCTATATAGGCAGTCAATTTTGGATTAAAAGAGTCTAATGTTGCTCTCTCCGACCCGCAGGCCTCTCTTAGGTGTAAGTCGATAGCGCCATCAACGCCTTGACTCCCTCAGCCTCATTCGCCCTCCCATCTCCTCCGCCAGACGCTTCTCCTAGCCTGGGTCCTGTCCCATTCCTTCTCTTGGTGCCCCAGACACCTGGGGAACCACCACTGCTTCCTGATCCTTTGCATCCAGGCCAACTCAGTTCCTTCTTGGGTCTCCAGGAGCACTGTGGGCCTGGAACCACCTTTACCTCCCTCTGCTTCCCTGGGCCTGTAGCACCCGCCAGCCTCTTTCCTGGACACTGGGGCTGACCTTTCCTCTGCCTGATACTCTGCATCCAGACCAACCCAGCTCCTCAGTGCAGTCCCCAGGAGGCCTTGGGGCCACTTCCTGTGCCCATCTTCCTTTGCATCTCTGGGTGTCATGGCCATTAGCTGCCCTAGACCAGCATCTTTCCTGGGCCTGGCTGTCAAGCCAGTCCAACCCCCAAATTCCTTAGGCCAAAATCTTTCCAGGAGGGATCCAGACCTTAGGAGAAAGCCTGAGAGCATCTGATCCTCATCTGACTTGGGCCTCTGTGGGAACTCCTGAAGACAAAAGCAATCTGGCCACTCCAATACAAAAACAAAAGAGAGAACCAGAAGCTTAGAGGAACCAGTTTTTTATGCCCAAAAAGTAAACCACAAAGACACATAAAGTTCACAAAAAGAAGCAGACCTAAACTTGAAGGCTTGGGTCTCACACAAGAATCAGAAACTACAAAAGAAATTCACATGTCAAAATCACAGAGAAAA